CGTCGTCCGGGTCCGACACCAACACCTGTCCTGCATCGACACACGTAGCTGTTCCGGTTGGGCGCTTTCCGCACAATTGCGATTTATGAAGCTGGAAAGGGTGCGTCCGCTGGCAGTCCGTGTTGTACAAGGGCAGAAGGTATTGGAACAGAACAGACTCTTCAGCTGAAAGGGTCAAAGGATTCTACGATTATTAGTTGAACATTAATGTACAGATCACAATCAGTACTCAGTTTGAACAACTTCATAACCAGAGGAGTGTGTGTTCGATTCATCCAAAGGCACGCTGGATACACTTTAGAAGACCATACGAACTTCTCATTTAGTACGATAAGAGCTATATCGTTAGATTTGTCGGTCTTATTATAGGCTTCGTGGATAATGGTGATGTTACCAGCAATGCCTAATCCACTCGAAAGTGGCTTCACTATGGGATGTATAGCATCGTCCAAGCAGCTAGCAGTCGTAATGACCATCTGTTTCGTAATGATCGAACCTAGACATCGGAACTCGAACTTATCATCAATATCCAAACCGATTTCGACCTACAATTGTAAATGTGTCAGTTGGAAAAGATCTTCCTATATGTTTTACAAATATACCAGATATCCAACGGGAAATTCCAACTCCAGCTCACGTAGCAAAGTTGGACATCTTACCAGCTCAGTATCTATAAAATTTCGCTGGTTTTTCTCGAGAACTTCAAGTGGGCAGCATATGACGGAAGCTGACGAGCAGAATGATACATTCCCAGCAGCCACCAACCTTCTCCAGTCGTCAGAGCATTCTGCAACGCTAACACATCGTCCTGGTTTCCTTTGGTCTACCACACAACTATCTCCCTCGACTAAGTTGTCATTCAGGAAAACAATATTGCCACCGTAAGTGAAATAGTCCGGCAACAGAACCGAACTTAGCCAATCGACGTGACTCGCCAAGCGGGTTGCGATCATGTGTTCCCCAAAACCACAATCTCTACCGAATTGAATCAGGGCGAGAGAATGTTGGTAATATTTTCCCTCTCTCAACTCTGCATATCCCAGAGGAGCACCAATAAGCAGGTCACAGGTTCCCGGTACCAGGAAGTAATCGTTGCCTAAGCACACGTGCTCGCTAGCCATTCCGTGTTGCATCCGAGTCAGATAGCGGTCGGAAATGATACAACTGGATGCATTGATTATGGAATTATCGGAATGGACCATTAATGGCGTTTGATCTGTATGGAAAACAAAATATCAGTCAGCGATGTTCTGCGGAATAAAAGAGCCACAATTGGACTTGCTGGTGTTTATGTCCGCATCCAATAGAAGGGGTTTGATGAGGTCTGTTCTACCGATGCCAGTCACTTTCGCCGTCGTTTCAGTCCAATTGAAGGCCATCCAGATACAAGAGTATTGAACTCCTGGTCTAAATATCAACAATGTGTCAAGCTTAAGCACTGCAATATTGTTGTAGCTCGATCCTTTGCGGTATCGGGGATGGATGTGAATTTTTATGATATTTATTACTGATGGTTCTACAATTTTACCGACGGGTGTTCTGCAAAATCAGTCACTATGTTGAAAAGTTGTTTAACTATGTGATCACACAAAATAGTACCCATTGAAATCTGTGCAGTCAGCCACCGTCAGCACTGTATCTTCATCGAGGATCATGCCGTAGCAGTTGTCATATCCCTCTACGTTGTGCCATCCCAATTTGACCATGTACCAAGGTCTATGACGAAGCTCAGTAAACACATACCAAGACGATCTTCGATCGGCATCCGTAGAATACTTGTCCAATCCGTCAGAGAAATCGCGATATTTGGCATATCGGTGAGCACACTGAGTCATATTGTAGGTGTTTTCTGTAAGTAGACATTTTAAAAAAGGAGGGCTTTTTCACTCCCAAAACCAAATCTCACCATCCACATCAGCACCACGTTTCCGCATTGTATCGATTATCCAGTCATGGTAAGGTGCCACCTTGGTGTAGACTCCTGGAGCGGACTTGCCACAAACCAGTCCGAACGATGTCAATGCAATAATAAATGGTGTCTGTCTAATGTTATGCATCAGTTTCACCTGCAGTGGTCCGCCAGAATCACCCTGTGTAGAAAACCGAACAAATCCTTAAAATTGTGTGCGTCTCTGAAGGATTATCTTAGCCCTACCTCACATGTATCGGATTTCTGGTGATGTGCACAAAGATGGTGATCTGCCAAGCCACGGTTCAGCTTACGGAGCGTTTCGTTATTGTAGAATTCGGAACAAAGCTCATTTGACATTGGCGCGAGCTTTGCTGATTGCAAGGTTGGTGAAAGATCCTTCCCTACAATTAAAATAAGAAAAGCACTTTTATCCAGAACATGTCGAGGTAACATCATAGTAACAGCCATGAAGTGAACATAAAGAAATCTGGTCCATGCTTACCGTATCCGAGCTTTCCCCAGCCTGCCGTCTCCATTTGCTTGAATCGAACTTCCTTGTCAGTCCACAAGCATGCGGGTACCAACTTGTCATTTATTCTACACATAAACATACTGAACATGTTAACAGAGAAACAATTGCAATCTACCTGTTACTATACATTGCCTTTTTCTCCAATCGCATCAGCGCTATGTCGTGATAATGCGCCGAAAAGCGATGTTCAGGATGACGGATGATCTCCACAATCTTGATCTCCTGACTAAACTCATCGTCAGTCGGATTATAAATGTTCAAGTCGGAAAATCTAACCACATCAGGTTTTCGATTGCTGAAATTGTTATGAAATATTATTAATCCCTGTAGCCTTCACCATGGAATCCAAACATCGAACTTTGAATCAACCGCACAGTGCGCTGCCGTCACCACAAAGTTATCCCAAATCAATGATCCGCCGCATTTAAAAAGAGTTTTCCCATCCGGTTGAATCCACCCAACGGCCGCTATCTGAACGAACGGATACTCGATACCACCGTGTTGTGATACGTTACCTCTGCTGACTTGCTGTTCATGAAATTCATAGAATCGCAGATGGCAATCTGAAGAAAAATTAAATTGATTCACCTCCGGTAGAATGTAACTTGCCGAGCAAAAACTAAAACAATAACTAGGGGAAATGTCTGTAATGTTGGCCTATGGATCTAAGATTGGGCCTATCGCTAAAAATCTGCTATTTATAAATTTTATCTAGATGAACGCGTTATTGGGACGTTATTTATCGATATTTTTGGTTGCTATTAAAAATTTAGTCGATTGCTGAATTCATGTATGGGCCCAAATTAGGGACACTTAGGCCGACATTACCTGCATTTCCCCTATATGGAACATGCGTAAAAACGACAGGCTTGATGGAACCTCGCTCGCGAGTTTGAAATGAGCCGAGCGTAGCATCTGAGGAGTCGAATCAAAGATATCTAATTAATAAGATGTCCCACTAATCAATGCCTTATACAAGGCATAAAGTTACCACCCTTATGTGATCGCAGTGCTATCTGTTGAGTGCACATTGAAACTGTTGGGAGTTCCCCGCCAACTTTACCACCAGGGCTCAATAACTGACAGGTGTCAGCATGACAGATGTCAACGCGGACGTTGATGATCAGCCGAGGGAAGAGGACGATATCATCATCGAAGTCATCATCATTACATTGCAATAGCAAGATTCTTACTTGTTTGTGATTGCTTTAATTTTCAATAATTACCACTTTACACGCAACAGAAACACTTGAGAAAATTATCACACATCCAAGCGCGCATCATGATGTGCTTGTAATATGTTATGCTTTCGAGCGAAAGAGTTTCCAATATACCACCGGTATAAGTAAGATGCCAATCTCTAATACTAATTGATGATTTGCGGAGCTGTTGTTCAACATAATCTTAATAAGCATAGAAGTAAACATGGGAAAAAACACCTTCCATCTCTCTAAAGAATTATTCCAACATCCCAGCCACTGGAAATACAACGTATCGAAATCATTGCTAAACGTAATAAAATATAAAACAGCAAAAAATGACATCTTCCATTTAATTCCACTTAATTAATTTTGGTATCCATGACAGATACGTATTTTAACTACAATGTGCAGTCTTCATCCGTGTCATTCTCACTTTTTTTTTAGTGGGAATGACACTGATGAAGACTACACATTGTAGTCGAAATACATGGATACCAATTTTTTTTTTTTCCTTTGGATTGTTTTTTCCGTCGCTCTTGTGTTCCGTGCTGAGCACCAGTACTACCGACGTGCCAGGAAGGCAGCTCCCACACCTGGACCCTACCTATCGACCCATCAACTCATGAACCGGGGAACAACGGCTTTACTTCCCATCCGAAGGAAGGCGTGATCAGAGATGTTATGCCTCAGAACATCCCGGCGGCGCCGACTGGGATTGAACCCAGGCCTGGCTGGGGTGAGAGGTAATCACGCTTACCACTACACCACCGGCACTGTTAATACCAAAATTAATTGAGTTAAATTAAATGGAAGATAACCTTTTTTGCTGTTTTATTTAAGCATTCCGCTAACAACCCAATTTCATTACTTCAGTAATAAAATATGCCGTTTTCTTTGGCCAACGCATTCCATTGAAAAATTACGTTGGAATAAACATTACTTTCCTATTTTATAACGTTGGAAGTATTTGACAACGCCGGTGAAAACAAACGCAAACGGGAGTAGCCGAAGCTCACGATGGGAAATACATAGGTGCCACAGTCGGAAGAAGTGTTAGTTTTTTTTTTTTTTTTTTTTTTTTTTTTTTTTTTTTTTTTTTTTTTTTTTTTTTTTTTAACTCTTTATTTGTTCCAAATTCAAAATAAATTACATTTCATTTTAACCTAGGTGCTCCAGTTACTGCAGTAACGTACCAGCCTTAATTGTTATGATATATATCTAAGTGTTTTTACATTGTTCATGTCTTGGCAATTCAGTATTTTAAACAGGTTTTTTAACCTGCATGTCAGTATAACAATTGATATCTTAAAACTAAAAACTAAAACTAAATCTTATCTAAGTATAAAGGGAATTAATCGTTGCAATTGAGGATTGCAACGATTTTTGCCTGAAATTATTAATTATTTTGTTGGACATTTGTGCTAAAGTCTCAACATTCGAAATTCTATGTACTTCGGTTGTACTGTACCAGGGAGGCAACTTCAAAATCATTTTCAGAATTTTGTTCTGAATCCTTTGAAGTGCTTTTTTCCTGGTAGTGCAGCAACTAGACCATATTGGCACAGCGTAAAGCATGGCCGGTCTAAAAACTTGTTTAAATATTAGAAGTTTATTCGTCAGGCAAAGTTTGGATTTCCTGTTTATAAGAGGATACAAACATTTTATATATTTGTTACATTTGGCTTGAATGCCCTCAATGTGATCTTTAAAAGTTAATTTTTGGTCAAGTATTAATCCAAGATATTTCACTTGGTTTGACCAGGAAATTGGAACTCCGTTCATAGTGACTATGTGACTACTACTAGGTTTCAAAAACGAAGCTCTAGGCTTATGTGGAAATATTATAAGTTGAGTTTTGGAAGCGTTGGGAGAAATCTTCCATTTTTGTAAATAAGAAGAGAAAATATCTAAACTTTTCTGCAGTCTGCTGCAAATAACACGAAGACTTCTTCCTTTAGCGGAAATGCCTGTGTCATCAGCGAACAAAGATTTGTGGCAACCCTGAGGCAAATCAGGGAGGTCCGAAGTGAAAATGTTATACAATATAGGCCCAAGAATGCTACCCTGAGGAACTCCTGCTCTAACAGGTAGTCGATTAGATTTGGAATTTTGATAATTTACTTGAAGAGTTCTGTCAGTTAAATAATTTTGAACTAATTTCATAATGTAAAGTGGAAAATTAAACTTTTTCAATTTAGCAATCAAACCTTCATGCCAAACACTGTCGAATGCTTTTTCTATGTCTAGAAGAGCAACTCCAGTTGAGTGGCCTTCAGATTTGTTTGAACGAATTAAATTGTTAACTCTTAAGAGTTGATGAGTAGTTGAATGCCCATGGCGAAATCCAAACTGCTCATCTGCAAAAATTGAGTTCGTATTGATGTGAAGCATCATTCTATTCAAAATTATCTTTTCAAAAAGTTTACTTATTGAAGAAAGCAAACTTATTGGACGGTAGCTAGAAGCTTCAGCTGGATTTTTATCCGGCTTCAAAATTGGAACAACTTTTGCATTTTTCCATTTATCAGGAAAGTATGCCAAATGGAAACATCTGTTAAATAATTTTACCAAGAAAGACAAGGTACTCTCTGGGAGTTTTTTGATGAGGATATAGAAAATTCCATCATCACCTGGAGCTTTCATATTTTGAAAATTTTTAGTTATAGACCTTACTTCGTCCAAATCAGTCCCCCAGGAATCATCAAAAATATTTTCCCGAGAGAAAATATTCAGAAAATCCCGAGCAACCTGATTCTCAATAGGACTAGTAAGACCCAAACTGAAATTATGGGAACTCTCGAATTGCTTAGCAAGTTTCTGAGCTTTTTCCAAATTTGTGATCAAAATTTTACCACCTTCTTTAAGCGCTGGAATAGGCTTTTGAGGTTTTTTCAAAATTTTTGTGAGTTTCCAAAAGGGTTTGGAACTCGGGTCTAATTTAGAAATATTATTTTCAAAAGTTTTGTTCCTCAGGGCAGAGAATCGCTTTTTAATTTGTTTTTGCAAATCCCGCCAGATAACTTTCATGGCAGGATCGCGTGTTCTTTGATATTGTCTCCTACGGACATTTTTAAGACGGATCAAGAGCTGAAGATCATCGTCTATTATAATTGAATCGAATTTAACCTCGCATTTTGGTACTGAGGCAGCTCTTGCTTCAACTATAGAAGTAGTCAGAGATTCAAGAGCATAATTAATTTCAACTTTGGTTTGCAAAGGAATGTTTGGATCGAAGTTATATTCCATAAATGTTCGATACTGCTCCCAATCAGCTCTATGGTAATTGAAAGTAGAGCTGTTGGGATTACAAATTATTTCTTGGGATATTTCAAAAGTTACTGGAAGGTGATCAGAACCGAAGTCAGCATGGGTAACCAATTGGCTACAAAGTTGACATGAATCAGTTAAGACCAAATCAATAGTGGAGGGATTTCTTGCAGAAGAAAAGCATGTTGGGCTGTTTGGATATTGAATAGTGTAATAACCTGCAGAACAATCATCAAACAGAATATTACCATTGGAATTGCTTTGAGCATTATTCCATGAGCGGTGTTTTGCATTAAAATCACCAATAATGAAGAATTTAGACCTATGACGGGTAAGTTTCTGGAGGTCACCCTTGAGAAAATTCTTTTGCTGGCCTACGCATTGGAATGGCAAATAGGCAGCTATAAACGTAAGTTGTCCAAATTTTGTTTCAACAGAAACCCCCAAAGTTTCAAAAACTTTGGTTTCAAATGAAGAAAGAATTTTATGTTTGATTCGTCTATGAATAATGATGGCAACGCCACCACAGGGTCCATCAAGACGATCATTTCTATAAATCAAGTAATTTGCGTCCTTCTTAACCTTATGGGCAGGTTTAAGGAACGTTTCAGTTATAACGGCAATATGCACGTTATGAACTCTTAAAAAGTTAAATAGCTCGTCTTCATTATCTTTAAGAGATCGAGCATTCCAATTTACAATATTTAATGCTTTAAAATACATTACTGAATTTTAAAGTCATGACAATATTATTTGCAAATTTTACTCCAGTTTGAATAGCATCAAACATGGAGTTAGATTTAAGCATATCAGAAATCATGTCAATTAATGAATTCTGTAAAAATTCCATTTTGGGGGCAGTAATGCTTCCTAAGTCAAAATTGTCAAAATTTCCATTAGAACGTTGGTTAGTATTTTGATTTCTACCCGCTGCAATAGCAGCATAGGTAGCTCCATTAACTCGCTGAACATTGTTAGCAGCGAGGGGAGTAGGTACAGATGAAACATTTGAAGCAGGGGAGATATTTGTACCTACGGGTACGAATGTAGAATTGGTTCCTCGCTGACCGTTGTTAACAGCAGAGGAATTTGTACCTGGTCGGAAACGTGGAGCGTTTCCTACCTGACGGTTAGAACGAGATTGTAGGATCGCTTTGCGAGTCTTACATTCCCAAAAATTGGATTTGTGGTTTTCACCACAATTTGAACATTTAAATTTCTTAGGATCTTCCTTCACAGGACAGTCGTCCTTTGCGTGAGAGGAATCACCACAATTCATGCATTTAGCTGGCATGTAGCAATTTTTAGTTCCGTGACCCCATCCCTGGCACTTACGGCACTGGGTGAGGTTTTGGAAATTTCCTCCAGTCTTCCTGAAGTGTTCCCACTTCACTCGGACATGGAGCATAAGGCTAGCTTTTTCTAAGGCCTTAAGGTTGTTTAGTTCACTAGACTTGAAGTGAACTAAATAAAAATCATTAGAAATCCCGTTGCGCGAATCGCCAGGACGGGATTTCATTTTCATTTTGATTACTTGGAGTGGCACAACTCCAAGTAATTTTGCCAGTTCATCTTTGATCTGATCCAGGGATTCACCACTGGGCAGTCCTTTCATGACAACCTTGAACACACGTTCAGTTTTGGTGTCGTAAGTAAAAAATTTGTGCTTCTTCTCAGTAAGATACTTGAGAAGACATTTAAATCCGTCCAAGGTTTCAGCCAATACACGGCATTCACCCCGACGTCCAATTTGTAGTGAAAACTTAACTTTCACGAAATTCAAAAGTTCCATGCGAAGAGCATGGAAATCGGTAGTGGTTATCACAATAGGGGGAATCTTTTCCTTCTTGGCATTAAGCCGGGAAAGTTTACTAGAATTTTTCTTGGATGATGGATCATTCTCATCATCCGTGAGCAAATCAAATTGATTACTCAAATTAATTTCATCAGAAGGGGGGTCAAGAGTTTGCCCCTTTCTTTTGCGTTTAGGCGCCATGGCGGCAGTAAATTTTTATCCAAATCGACTTCCAAGCAGATTACTATAAGAATCTGAAGGATCGAAGAGGAATTTTCCAAATCGATATCCAAGAAGGATTACCTCGGGTAGGGTCCAAACAAGGATCGAAGAGGAATAAGAGTTGAACAAGGTAGAAAATTTTTACAGGTTGAGCACTGAAAAGTGCTGTTTAAATTTGTTGTAGCTTTAGGTAGTAGTAACACTTCCTTCAGCAAAAAGCAAATAGATCCGCACGGCAAGAGAGCACGATGCGGACTGGAGAAGTGTTAGTTTGTTTACTTAAATGCACCATGCCCATTTTGTTATAGCATGTTTGCTATAAGAAATGCGCCTCGTGTTTATTAGCGAATTTCACATCAAAGATTGATTAATTGCGTAGGAAATCAGTTTGGAACGGCATTTGTAACCAGCATACACCTTCCGGTCGTATGAAACAGGTCAAAAACTGTCCAAATCCGCTGATAAAAATTTTTGTTTTGAATTTCTGTATAGCAAAATAGTGAACTTTTCGTGAACATTAACGGCAAAGAACTCACCAACACTGGGAGACTGTGAGTTCCTGCCCACCTGTCATTTCCCATCGTGGCCGAAGCTGAATGATGACGGTGAGTGATGACACCGCTTCGTGTTTTGATTTGCGCTGTACCGCCCGCTCAGTTGTGTGGGTTCGTACATTTATAGATGTTTGTGTGCGTGTTTTCTTCCAACGCAGCAGTTCAACGTTGTCTCGTCACAAACCGTTGGGCGCTGTTATCTGTCTCTATAAATTCCAAAGAGTGAAGGGGGTCTGGTAAAGCCCTATCCAGTAAGGGAATCAAAACCTACACCGACATCACGGCGATTGGCAGGTTTCGCTTCAAGGTATCGTTCGGAGCACCACAGGAAGCCAAAAAACTAATGGAAATCAACATGGAGGAGCTAAACCTCAAGTGTTACGTCCCGATAATCCTCAGGCAGACAGTGGGTTTGGCTAAAGGAATACCGAGAGATTACAGCGAGCAAGAATTGATGGAAGATCTGTTGTCGGAGGGCGAAATTATCAAAGTGGAAAGGATGAAGAAAATTGATAGCAACAAGAAGCTAACGGATACGGAAAACGTCAAAATCATCTTCCGAGGAAAGCAACTACCAGACAGCGTGTTGCTATACGGATGCAGGTTCAAGATTGAACTCTACCTGTTCCCGGCGAAGCAATGCTCAAACTGTTGGGGATTTGAACACAGGAGAGAAAAATGCTGGAGGACAACAAAATGTAAGGAATGCGGCGTTCAACACGAAGACGAAAACTGCAGGAAAAAGGCATGCATCAATTGCGGAGGTCCGCACAGTCCGACGGATAGCAAGTGCCCAGAGAAGGAAAAACAGGTACAAATCAACGGGGGAATGCAGTTGGAAAAATTGACGTACAAGGAAGCAAACGAGAAATGGAGACAAGCCAATCAGTTCGACTTGCTGTCGAATTTCGACGAGGAATTTCCAGATATGGGTGAGCAGCGAGACGAGCAGGGTCGCTCGCAGATAAACGCAACAAGTTCGTGTGGAAAAAAAACAGCAGAACACCACAGCAAACGGCGCCAGGCGACAAACAAGGAACTTACGCAGATAAAGTAAAGGAAAAGTAACACCAACGACAGTTCACAAAAAACCCACACAAAGCAACAGTTTTGGAAAGGACGATGATGGAGCTGAAGCATTTCTGGAGAAATCTGAATCTAGTCAGAAAGCTGATGAGACTGCAATCAGCCATCAACGCGGAGGTGGTTGGACAGGCAGCCTCAGAAGTCAACCTGGAGGAAATACTAATAAGGATAAGTTCCACACTGAACGAAATCATACAAGAATTCATGGAAGATCTAGCGGAGTGTACGGAATCGCCCAACAAGGAAACAGAAGAGCCCCTAACACACAATGATGGATAATTTCAAGATCATGCAATCCAACGTACCGAAACACGAGAAGAACTAGCGGTCTTCCTGGATAGAGAAAAAGTGCACATAGCAAGTCTGCAGGAGATATGGATCAAGCCAACGGAAAATTATAGAATAAAAGGATTCAGCATCGTCAAAAAATGCAGAGAAGAAGGCTACGGAGGTGTTGCCATTCTCATTAGTGAAAAACCAGCTACATATACCATAACAAATAAGAAAGCGAATTATCTTAAGCGATGGTGGAACCAGGACATACAATCAGCGTACAACGAAAAGAGGGAACAACTGAGAATCTACAACCGGAACAAAACGCTGGAAAACCAACTTGAAATGCAGAAGGCAAGGGCGGTGTTCAAGAGAATAGTAAGAAAGGAGAAAAGGAAACATGATACGGAACTAAAGGAGAAAATCGACGAATCGACGCCGGCTAAACAGATATGGAACATCATCAGAGGTCTAGATACAGCTTTAACAGGCAACAAAAGAGGGGCGGATACGAAAACGCCGAAAGAGATTGCAGAGAAGTTCATCTGGATGAATTACGAACAAAAAAAGACGGAGCTGAACACTCAACAACTTACCCTAGCACTGAGTACGGACGAGGAAGTAGAAGCACCACTCCAGTTCTCGGAATTCATGCGAGTTCTCAAGAGCAAGAAGGACCGCTCGGCGGCAGGCATGGACAACATCTCATACCACATTCTGAAATGATTAAGATGGGAAATCCTAATGGAAGTTTGCACACAGCTGGATCGATGGAAACAAAACAAACTAGTTTTAATCCAAAAGCCAAACAAGGACAAAATGATGTAGCAGCAAAACGAGGGATATTTAGTACTAATCAACGTGCTCCTGAAGACGATCAACACTATAGTAAAGGACCGACTGTACAAATACGCGGAGGATAACAACATATTTCCAGAGCGGTTTTCGTAAGAACTACTCGGCAATAAGCTGTGTAAATCATGTAATCAACTCGAGTGTTCACTATGCTGTCGACAAAAGCAGGCCACTCTCGATGTGTGCTACGCGATCGTCTGTTTTCTCGGCAGCAACCATTGTGTGGTCCTCCTCATTGTTCTTCATCAGCAGTTCTTTCGGTCGATGCGTCGTCGACTTTGGAAATCAACCGTTTCGTGATGAGCAGTGTTGCCAGTATTCCAGATTTATCTGGATTTTCCAGATTTTTAGACGTCTTGCCAGATACACAGACAGACCACGTATGTTTCCAGATTTTTTAAATATGTTCCAGATTTTCCCAGATTTTTTAAACATGCTGTTTAAAAATATCACTGCAATTGATTTACCCTCTAGCAAAATTAAATCCAAACTGGCTACTTTTATTATTAAAGGCCATCAACGTTGGACATTATTGGAATTTTAAGGTAATTTTGAAAATAATTCAATGTGAAGTGTGAGGTGAATCCTTGGGAAATCAAAGGAGAACTTCAAGTCAATTCTGAGCATAGTTCCATCCATCTTTGTGGGCGTCACCCGAACTTATGGCGTGACCCGTCGTTCAGGCGTACTGTGAGTGACACGAAGTGTAGGCAACCGGTGAACACTCGTGTTTATTTCAGTTACCGTGGGGACGTAATTTGTGATTAGCCCCGGTCCCTTTCAAATTGTATCATTATTTATATACGGTCCTTTTATTTGAAATGACGTTTCACATTCATCTAGTGATGGCCGATTTTCATTCGAATAATTGATTAATCGATTAACGAACCGAAAAGTAAAATATTTGTAATCGGTTATATCATGCCGATATAAACATTAACATCTCCAGAGGATCATCACCAATCGTTTCAAACATGCGTTGGACTCTCATTGGTGGAAAAATTGTAGCACGGCGAACAAAAAATAATCGATTAGTTGTTAATCGAGTAATTCAAAAATGGGACATCTCTGATTGTGGTGTGTTTGTTTTGATAAAAATGAGCGCAAAATTTAATCTCTACCGAGGGGGCAGCAAAACCACAAAATTACCTTGAATACGGGGGTTATTCATTGGATGAAAGGGACCGTGAAAGAGGACACTAAAATAGAAAGTTATTCTTCCGACAGCTTCATCTTTGGTGTAGGTTCGATTTCCGCTCCAGCCGGTGCAAATATTGGCAACCTAAAAAATTCCCTACTGGTCTACTGGGTGTACTCTACTCTACTCTACTCTACTCTAAGGAAGCCTTAGCGTGAAACTTCAAAGGCACAAATGTCAGCTTCCACAAAACATACTAATTTGAAATTGCTACTCTCTGTTTGTAGTAGCACAGCAAACAAGGAGTAGCAATTTCAAAGTTGTATGTTTTGTGGAAGCAGACATTTGTGCCTTTAAATTTTCACTCTAAGGCTTCCTTAGAGTATAACCTTAAATAAATTCCAGATGATCATGCTGACCGAGTTTTACGGGAGATTGGCACATCACTTTGATTTCAATAGCATTATGTTAAAAACAGGATTTTTTGGAGCATTCCAGATTTTTCCAGATTTTATATTTTAACTGGTCCAGATTTTTTTGAAAATGACCTGGCAACGCTGGTGATGAGTGTGTGAGTGCTGACCACGTTTTGCGTCCATTGCTGCAATGGACGCGCTCTGACCCTCGTTGGCGTACAACAATTTGCCATACAATGAAACTACTAGAAGCGGCTCCAGTTCTGATGGAGGAGGCTTTTTGGATAGCGGAAGATAAAGTGTTTATTGTGTTGTACTTTTTGACTATAGTTTTAAGATGTATTGTATAGTGACCAAGAATCCTCGGCTCTGTAAAGTTAATTCGGTTGAGCCTTATCAAATAAATTAATAAACATGTAATCAACTCGGTGAAGGAAGCCAAACAGGCCAAACAATATGCCTTAGCTGTGTTCCCAGATCTAGACAAGGCATTTGACTCGGTGAACTGCCAGACCCTACTAGCAACAGTAGCACAGGAAAAAATACGACAGCTTAATATCTTGTCCCCAGAAGCAACGGTGTCAATAAAAGTCAACAGCGGTCTCCCCCAAGGATGCCCACTATCGCCGTTGCTGTTTAACATCTATACAGCTGAACTTCACAAAATTGAAGAGGATGGAGTGGTATTAGTCGAGTTCGCAGATGACTTCACGGTATTCGTTTCAGGAGAGGGCCCGGAAATAATTGGTAGAGCAAATAGATTCCTGCATAAGCTAACAACAAAACTAGCCACACTTAACCTATCGGTAAATCCTACAAAATGCGCTGCGATCAATTTTAGCAAAATCAAGGACGAAAACATAAATATTAAAGTTTGCGGAGAAAAAATCGAACTTGCCAACACCCACAGATACAAACGGGCTATACGGTAGATCGAGGACTAACTCACAGAAAACATGTAGAGACAGTATCCAACAAAGCAAGCAAGAGCATAAATATGCTCCAGATGATAAGTGGAAAAAGGAGTCCAGCTAACTCAGAAACGATGCTGAAAATTGGCAATGCATTGGTACCATCGAAAATAGAATACGGGGCTTCAATATATGGGAACGCGACTAAAACGAATAGGCAAAAAGTAGAGACTGTACAAAATTCCTTTGTGAGAGTAGCGATGAGATATCTAAAAAGCACACCGGTAAATGTATTGTTGGCAGACTGTGGGCAATTACCGATGGAAAACAGACTAGAATGGTTTGCACTGAAGGAAACAATTAGGACGTCACACGACACGAACCCCAACAGGAAATTTACAGCAGAGGCATTGAATAACAAAAAAAGCAACGGCTCCTTCATCTCAGACCTGGCATGCGAGCACAGTGAGGTTATCCAACAGCTATCAACCAGTCCGGAGAACGTCCGGCAAATAATTCGTCAGCTGGAAAACAAATCGGCGTGGGTGAAAACAGGGATACCAGGAGTGGACAGCAAAAAAGACAATATCAAACCCAGAACAATGGAGAGGAGCAGCAAACGAGCTTCTGCAAACAACGTACGGCAAGGTCAAGAAAATATTCACGGATGCATCCAAGAATATCAACGGGACAGCGATCGCGGCAGAAGGCTGGACGGACAAGCTCTACAAAGCAGTAAAGATCAACATCAACACCAGCATAATGAACGCAATTGATAGCAATTCGCGAAGCAGTATCAATAGCCGAGAGCAAAGGTCATCATCACGGATTCGAAAAGTGCATGTGAGGCCCTAAAAAACAAAGAAAAATGCAGAACAAACCACATAGAAGACTTGGAACATAAACTGTACCACTGCATCAGGTGGCTGCACTCAAGGGCGAAGGCGCAAGTGCTAGATAGCATAAAACCGCTTTCTCAAATATTCATGGACCAAAAGATAGAAGAGCTGAAGAGTGTAACTCAAGTCCTGAAAGACATCAACATGAACATCTGAACCAAACGTATCGATCAGCAAAGCAACCTACAATCAAAAAATCAACATAAAACACTGAAGACAACCAAAGGCAAGATGGACCAACCCATGGTCTAAGCCTGACATAGCAGACAAAAAAAAATGAATGAGGTTTGCTGCAATTCATGTTCATGTTTTCTATCACACGCGCGCACCTCACGTCAAATCATCCTCTCGCTGAAGTTCACTCTTCCTCTCTCTCGAGGAGTTTTTCTTTACTTCTTCCATATTCCTGCCGCCACTCACTCGAGGTGAGGACTGGCTAAACTCGCAGGACAAGAATGTTTTAAACCTCCAGTGAGTTTGAGGAGTTTCAGCAAGCCTGGTGGATTATTCCAGTTTACCACTGTAGCGACAATAGCATTTTATCACAGACAAACAGGCATAACACTCATAAGTTGTTCATCGAACAAGCATTTAACGGTCAATTTGAAAGTATCTCAGTTGGTAGTACTGCCACCTGTGGCGCGCATAGTAAATTCCCTTGCATTTGACATTTACACACTACCGCCATCTGTTCAGCGTACTACCCACCACAGTGTACTCAACGATGGCGGTAATGTTTTAGCGACGATGGTTTACAATGAGAAATATTCAATGTTGTAACCGTTCTGTTACAAAGGTCCAATACAATATTCTAAATGTGCACCATGTGATCGATCATTCAAATAAATTTGTGTAACACTTGCGGTGAAACCCACTGGGCAGACGATACGGCCATGCTTAACGGCCGACTGCTGAATAAGGCGCGCATGGCCGCGGCAAAATGGTGACACGGAGTCACGGGTGATGAGCTGAAGGATTCTGCGATGCTTAGAGAACGGCCATCATTCACTTTATCTCAGGCGAGCGCGTAGACCAGAAGTGTCTGTGGCATACACTTTAACAGAATACAGTGCGAGTAGTGAATCAAGGTGAAGTGTAAATCACCAATTCAGCTGATTCAGGTAAAGTCGAAGTCATCATCTAAATTGGTCCAAGGCACTAATGGATGTTACCTCCTCGCTAGGACCTTTCTTTTTCAACCAATCAAATGGTTTTCTGGTTGGCGAGTCAAGGACCGCCATTGCACGCTACGGTCTAGGTGACATTTAGTTACCTTGACCTGAAAGTATAGGACATCGTTCTCGGGCTGAAGGCCCTAAACGCCAAGGAGAATTTCCCTTCCCGGTTCGACAGAGGGCGCCGTCGTCGACCGGCTTCGTCAGAAGGAAGCGCCTGTGCATCGAAACCATCTCCACAAACCGCTATACCACTACATCCGACGTCCGGTCAGCCTCGCTTCGTCCGCCATTGTCGGAATTGTACCGGAATTTCACCGAGCGGTGGTACCGCCATCTTGCCGACAAGATCGGCCTTTAATCATCCGCCATCGACAGGATCATTCCGGAACCACAACGAGCGCTCGCTGGTCTGCAGTCGTCGTATTCGCCATCGTCATCAAGGGTATGTGCCAAGAAAATCGATCACAACACCACACAATCCACACTATCGTTAATTGGAGAAAATACAGTGTTAAAGTTGATCCGAGCTGTGCTTCAGTTTAATTGAAAGCTTGAGTCAAAAGTTGAGTGCCTTTTCGTCCGCGTAGACCCTACAGTTTGCCCAGTAGTGCGCCGACTCTGAGACACAGTTGTTGTCGAGCAGAACATTAGTTTCAATGTATTCTGTCTGTTTGTCTGTGATTTTATAATAATTATCAACAAGATACACTTATAACATATACGCAGGCAAAAGAACGTAAGAATTCCATAAGAAACACTTGTCAATTTTAGCCATAAGAAATGAGTGTGAATTTCATTGATTTGCCTTATGAAAAATAATGTTGATGAAAAAATAATAAATCGGAGCAGACTGGAACTGAAAAACGGACGTTGAGGTTAGGGGGCCCGTATGTTGACCACTTGTCTTTCGACGCTTGTGAAAATGAAATGGTTAAAGGCGTATAAGAACTACCTCATGCTGCACGAAAATCATTCATAAGTCGCGCTTATGAATTTCATATATGTTGTTCATAAGTCGAGCCTTATGAAATTCTTAGGTCTATTTGCCTCAGTGTACGGAGGCACATAAACATAAGAATTTCGTAAGACTCGACTTATGAACGACACATTTAAATTTCATAAGCGTGACTTATGAATGATTTTCGTCTAACATAAGGTAGCTCTTATACGTCTATAACCTTTTATTATATCAAGCTTTGAAAGACAAGTGATCAACACACAGACCTCGTAATCTCAACGTCCATGGTTCGGTTCCAAACTGCTTCGTTTTATTATTTTTTTTGTTATCATTATTTTTATGAGGCAAATCATACTGATTTATTGTGGCTAAAATTCATAAGTGGAACTTATGGAATTCTTACATCCATTTGCCTCAGTGTACCACCGACAAACCGACATGAATGATCATACAAATTACAAAGAAATTTCTGCTAAAAGCACAAAACTGACATCTACCGCCGTATTCGCGGAAAATGTTTATCCTAGCCACGTACACGCGTACAAAATTTATGAGTTGGTTCGTGTCTAATCTATTTCGGACAAATTATTTTTAACTAGACAAAACATTTCTATGGTTTTGACAGATGGGATCGCTGCAAATTTGAATCGGCCGTTATGGATTCTCGATCAACAGTTAAGATTAAGTTTCATGTCGGTTTGTCGTTGAGTGTACTCCATAATATGGAACGATATTTTCAATTGCACAAGATTGATCCATTAAAGCCAACACTGAAAACGAAACCAGCTCATAGAGTAAGTTACTTTTACTCAGTTGAGAGTCACTTTTACTCATTCGGTTGGAGAAATTTCTTAAAGCATAGGCTACTCAGCGCATGAATAAACTACGCTTTTACAAATATCTCCGTACGAATGAATAAAAGTGACTCATTCTTTGGATAAGATTCGTTTTCAGTGCATGGAATGAAGTCCAAAAAGGTACTCTTACCGTCCAATGTGGTTCGCTCATCTGGGAACAATAGTGACTCTCCTGGATGTGTGTTAGCCCAAGCTAAAAGAGATTTTAAAGGAAATAGAAGTTTAGTTGATCTAATGGCATCGTTTTCAAATCAAACTATTCACCAAAGTTCAGTACATTGCCTAGCAGTACTACGATGCACATTCGTTTCCTGATCATTATCGACATGTCTGCCTTGCCTTCAGTTGTTTGCAACACCCGTTAGTTGTACTGCCAAAGTGAAACTGAGGATGCATCGCATTGCAAAACACTAAGACAGCATCTCTTGCTCTACTCCTCAATAAAAGTGACCGTAACACACTATCAGTGACGCAACACAAATAATAAATTCCCCCACTGCCAGCATGTAAAACCGCAATTGACTCAGGAATAACAAGGCTAGGTATTTTAAATCCGCATGTGTTGACGATCACTGCAAAAAGTCCAATGATTTATCGATTCTCGTCTTCGAATTTTTCTAAGTGCATTCCGGCTATTTTCTTAACACAGTTCGTTGGATGCAAGTATTATCTTGTTCCTAAAACTACAAAAAAACATAAAAGAACATTTGTGTAGTCGAGCTGCCAACGACGAGCAAAACCGAGGAAGAGAATCGATCAATATTAATCCTTATGCATCGTTAAGCTCTAACCGCCTATTCGTTTGCTATAAAAAGGGTTGTGTCGAAAGCACGACCACATTGTTGACGTAGGACTACGAGATTATTATTGCTGCTCCATTCAATAATATATCAAAAACAATATAAATGGCTTAGAAAGTCAACTCCAAAATTTACAATTCATTATTAATTTTTTTTTTGATTCAGCGGTTATTTAATAAATCCTAAAGTTAAGATTCAATTTTTGCAATTGGAAAATCACTTCCTTTATTATTCATAATAAGTTCCATACATGTTCACCCAACTTAGGGAAACTTACTGAAGTTAGTAAAATAAACTATGCGTCTAGATATTAAATGGCTCAAGCTTTATTGGAAACTTGGGAGACGCTATCGTGACTTTCCCACACTTACTTACACTTTTATCATTTTATTTTGCAACATCTTTGCCATGTGCTCCTGTCCAAATAATTCCAATAAACTAACTAAGAGAAGTTTAAAAGCCATTAAAACAGCTTAATCGCAGAAATATAATCAAGATTCCCAGTATGCCGGATCTAGAGCCTGTTTGACCCATTCGACGAGCCGGGAAATCCTGGTGAGCGTAATATAATTCCGAGACTCACAATCCTCACTGGGCTGAGCTAATCCCACCAAATAGGAAGCCCCATCTTCACCGTCCGATCGCAGCATGTCGCCCGAATTGGCACATGTTTTCGGGTTGTAAGGTTCCTTTGCGCACAGTTGCGATCGTTGCAGCGGGTAAGGATGCGCCCGTTGACAGTCCGTGTTGTACAGCGGTAGCATGTACTTGAAGTTGAAGATGTCTTCATCTGGAATGTAGAATAGAATTTGATTCATGATTGCCTTGGATATAAAGAGGATACCTTACCACGTTGGACCAACCTCATGACCAGAGGTGTATGCGTTTGATTTATCCAGAGGCATGATGGAAACAGGTGCGGAGTCCACACAATTGATTGCTCCAGTTTGATTATCGCTATGTCGTTGGTTTTATCAGTCACATTGTAGTCTTCGTGCAGAATTATCGATTCAATTGGAACGATTGTTTCGCTGAAAGACAGTCGAACAACAGGCGGAACCTCGTCCCCGAAACAGCTGGCCGTAGTTAAGACTAGCTGAGCGGAAATGATCGCTCCCACGCACCGGAAGTCATACCAATCTTCTGTGTCAAAACCGATCTGGACCTAGAATGATGTAGCTTCGTTAGATGGGGCGATGTTGAACGATACAATCAACACATACGAGTGAACCATTCCAGGAGAGAGGTTTCAGCTTACTGACCAAACTAGGACATCTTTCAAATTCGGTTTCCAGAGGTTGTTTAGTTTGACTGTGAAGAACACTTTCTGGACAACATACCACACCACTTGTAGAACAGAATTGTGCCTTTCCTTTAGATACGGATTGCTGCCAGTAGTTTGGACAATCTGAAATCTTGGAACACCTACCGGGAGTACTTTGATCAATCTCGCAATGATCTCTTTCATGACGATCAGTGTCCAAAAATACTACACTGCTGCTATGATCCTGGTAATTTGGCAGCAGGATCGATTTCATCCACTCGACATGACTAGCCAAACGTGTTGCAATCATGTGATCTCCAAAGCCACAATCTTGTCCAAATTGAGACAAGCCCATGGTAAACGTGTATCTACGCTCTTCTCTAATCATTGATCTATCCAGCGGGCCTCCGATTGGTAAGTTGCACATCTCCGGCACTATGTAGAAATCGTATCCAGCACATACATGTTCCTGTGCCAGACCATGTTTTAACCGAGATAATTCACCATCACCAACGACGCAACTGGAGGTATTTCGTATTCGGTTTCTTATAGTAAGGAAGCCATACGTTGGATCTTGAGGGACAATTATATCATAATCAGAATTTGCATCAACATCTAAACACATGCCACCTACCTATTTCTATATCGTTATTAGGATAAAGTGGTTTAACGAGATCTTTCCTTCCGATCCCCAAAACAGATGCATCGCCGAAAGGCCATTTGCGTTCCACCCAGATGCATGTAGGTGCGATTTGTTGTTGAAAATCCAACAGCGAGCCCAGCTTCAAAATGGCAATATTATTGTAGCTCGATCCTTTGGTGTACCGTGGATGAATATGAATTTTCGAAATGCTCACAACCTTTGGATGGACTATCTGGTCAACTGGTAGTCTTGAAAACAAACGACAGTAATGAAAAAGGATACCATTCAAAAATCATCCCTACACTACCCGTTGAAATCGGTGCAATCCGCAACCGTCAGGACAGTATCCTCGTCGACTATCACGCCGAAACAGTTACTATGGCCAACTCCTTTGCTCCATGCAAGCCTCGCTAAATGCCATGGTACATCGGGATACAACGAAAACATGTAATTAAAGACATTCAACTTTACCGATCCATTGCCATTCCTATGTACGACAACCCCGTCGTAGAATTCGCGATATTTAACATGTCGATGTACGCACGTGGTTGAGTTGTAGGTGTTTTCTGGATAACGGAAAAATCAATTGAATCAATCTGTCTAAAAGCTTCAACGTTTTTTTTTACCATCAACAGCAGCTCCACGCTTACGCATTGTGTCGATTATCCATTCGTGGTAGGTTGCTACCCGGGTGTAGACTCCGGGACTGGATGTACCACAGATCAGCCCGAACGAGGTTATACCGACTATGAACGGTGTTTGACGCATGTTGTGCATTAGTTTGATTTGCAGTGGGCCACCAGAGTCACCCTATTTGAAGCAGAAAGGGGAAAAACTACACGGATACTCAACCTCATAGACAAGACATCCCAGTTATATATTTTTCGAACCAATTAGTGGATATATCCTGATAACAGCTTATAAATCTAAGGGAAAACTAAGGGACTATAGGATTGTTCTTATACTCAATAATGCCACCAATAATCTTATTTTTTTATTGCAATGTGTTTTGATGTGTCTCATGATGGATTTAAGCAGGGGCGTAGTGAGGGCAGTGCTGCAAAATCTCGACCATACATTGACAAAACAGCTTTCATCGCTTACTCAATCTTTTTTTCCCTTGATTTGTTTTCCATCGATCTTGTTTTCCGTGCTGAGCACCAATACTACCGACGTGCCAGGAAGGCAGCTCCCACACCTGGACCCTACCTATCGACCCCTCAACTCATGAACCCGGGACCAACGGCTTTACCTCCCGTGATCAGAGATGTTATGCCTCAGAACATCCCGACGGTGCCGACTGGGATTGAACCCAGGCCTGCTGGGGAGAGAGGTTCCTCAATCAATCTTAAAATGATCTTCAAGGGATACACACAGAAAAATGGATTTTTGTTTCAGAGGCTAATGTATTTTGCTATTGATTCCAACATATTGTATCACTATTTCAACAAAACATATTTTTTGAATCAACGTTGGTTGGAGACAACCAATTTATACTGGAAGGAACTGGTAAGTAAGATAAGAATTGTAAAGCGTGTGTACTTGCATGATTAACCTATTTTAGAATTACCTATAAGCCACATACAGAGCTGGTAAATATCACGGCTGTCATGTGACGATGAGAAAAAAGGTCCTCTCGCTATCACGAGACGAAACTACCTATCATTAGCTTTCTTGTCATTTTTCAAAGATAAAGCACTCATGAGAATAATTCTTATGTGGTTTTGACATCAACATTTCTAACTGATTTAGATGAATTTAAGCAAACAAACGTATGTAATTGGTAGAGTGAATATATTATTAAGATTTCCTCGGTACAAGTAACTTTAATAGCATTAAATGAGCTAGTAATTATGAGAATCACGACAGAAAATTCGATGAGATTTTGAAGAAAATCTCTACCATCGTTTACTCATCCAATGATAGTGACAGAAGTATCTCTGTAAATATCGCGTGAGATCTTTCATTGAAAATGATATTAGACCAGCCCTGGCCACATGAGAACCTCATTTCCTTCAATTACTACTCCATCGGAGCACACACCTAATAATGATCACTAACCTTCATATAGTGTCAGCATTATCGACATTATGAGTTGTAAAGTATAATTACTATGCATAGATATAAGTTCATGTACCAGAACCTGGACGGAGACGAGCCTACCCAGGGAAGGACCCGGATACGACCACCCATGTGTGTCTAGAGTGTCGCACGAGCTGACGAGTGCAACGGGAAGGACAGTAGGTGTATAGGCTACTGTGTTTCCTGACTTAGGGGGTTAGACCCTAGATCAGTGCTGTAAATTCTCAAAATCATTTGAACATTTTTGATGAAAATGAGAAAAGTAGCTATTCGCTATCAAAGGGGACCTCCTCCAAATGGGTGATATCAGTTGCTTAGTCATTTGACGAAGGCATGGATCATTCTCATTTGAGAAACGCTATATATCATTCGATTGAGTGTAACCTACACACAAACGGAGCTCTGGTCGACATTCCGGCGAAAAAGCTAAGCCAACCCGACACCAACCTGACTTCTATCAAACCCCAACCCGATGTTGACCCGACATTGACCCGACATAAACCCAAAATTGACCCGACATTAACGCGACATTGGGTCGACATCGACCTTAAATTAGCCTTACATTGATCCGACATCGGGTCGACTTGTCTGTTCGGGACCATTTTCCTGGATTTCTTCCATACTCCACTGTCGTATATCAAATGATACTGAGTGACTCAATTGACAGTGACAATGAGCTTCGAATGAGAAAGGGGCTCTTCAAATTATGGTCATGTGAGAATTCGTTTACACAGAATTGATTGAATGGTTGTAGTGGTTCATCTTCAATCGAATGATATGAAAATTTACAGCACTGCCCTAGATAAGCCAACTTAGCGGTTGACACAGCCTATACACTGAACAATTACAATTACAATTACAATTACAAAATGGTTTTTAATATCTCTAAGCTCTACAACCGGTTTGTTGATTCAAAAATATTTTTCTTTGAATTTACCGAATAATATACCAAAAATATATTAAGTCCTGAGCCAAAAATATATCCATTTGAATTTAAAAATCATTTCTCTGCGTGTACCATGTCAAATATCAGGGACAATGTGGTCAGTGATGAACATGTGCAGTTTTTGTTCTTAGCTCAATTTGTTACGAAATCAGATGAATCATGTAAAATAAATGCATGGAGCCATCAAAGTGAACATGGAGCCATCAAAGTGAACATGGAGCCGTCAAAGGCTTCCAGGTTTAATTCTATGGAATATTCCTAACCTCAATGAGTTAAAATCGATATTTGAAGAGAATTTCTATGGTGTTCTGAAGTGAGATTCAAGAGAGTTCCTAGCAGAATTCCAATGCAATCGAATCCAGAGGATAGTTCCATAAGAGCTCTGGGAAACATTTCAAGGAATCCAAAAATGTATTCACAGTATGCTCTGCCTGGTTGAGTTTTTATGAGCTGTCACGATGTTGACTGTTTTTCCACTGATGTGGTTTTGCAACTTCAAATGTACTTACCTCACAAGTATCCGCTTTGGAATTAAACGCACAAATATGGTGACCGGCTAGGCCCCGACTCAACTTTCGAGAAGTATCGTTATTGTAGAACATGCTGCACTCCTGGTTTGAAACTGGATCAAGCTCCATTTTGAGTAGAACCGGTGATTGCTTTCCAACTGAAAGGCACATTTGTTTGTAGTTAGGTATGTAATCACATTCGTCAATCTTAAATTCATTCAGTCAAATCTACCGAATCCAACGTTTCCCCATCCGGTGGCATGCATCCGTTTGAATCGTACCTCTTCATCGAGCCACAGACAGGCAGGAATTACCGCTTCGTTTATTCTAAAAACGAATCGAATAAATTTTAAACGTTCTCAACATGATCATTCAATGTGTATTAGACTGATGCAAAATTTGAAATTTCCACTCCACAGTGCTCAAACGGTTCCAAATTGGGTCCTGATTAAATTTGAACTCATTAAGTAAGAAACTGACTTGGCACAAACCATTTGAAGTTTATACAGGGTGTTCGGTTCCTTAGTGCAAATAATTAAGGGGCAATAGAAGATCATATTTGAAGTAAAAAATTGTACTACGCATATGATCAAATCTCAAAGGTTACTGAGTTATTGAACGTTTTTTTCTGTTTTGGTCTATGCTTGTCATAAATTGGCTCTAACTTTAAAACTATGCCATTTACCACAAAAATCTTACCTTCATTGGGCAGCTTGGTAAATTTCCTACTCAATAGTGTAAGCTGCATTTAGACACATTTAAGGGATAAACGAGTATAAAACTTGTGTTTTTCTATGGGCTTTCCCTTATAATTTCAAAAATTACGTAATAAAGTATATTGTTTTGTCTAACCAAAAGATGCCTCTCAATGCGCTTTATAACTCTCTCTTTGACACCAATTTTCTATCTTGTTCAGTTTTGTCGCAATTTCGTACTAAACACATCATGTTGGGTCGTTAATTAACGGTTGCTTAAAACACGAATTCAACCCCACCGTGCGTTGCTGCTGACGTCTGTTTGCAGCGCGCATAACACATTTGATCGCCACGCGGAGTGACGGTATGAAAAGTGTGACAAGAAAAACAATGCTGAGCACTATGGGAAGGTCCCATACAAATAGGTGGCCAAAAATATGTCGGTCTTTAAAACAATTTTTTTGTTAGCCTTGATGTGTGCGATAGCATTTTATATAGCCAAAAGATGAAATGTTGAACTGATGATTATCATGATGTGCCCTCATATCAAAAATGAGCGCTAGAGTGCATAATCGACTTATTTGCAATCCATCCGATGTTTGATGAATGAAAACACAAAATTTTCAATTGGTGCGTTGTTCGCGAATGCACCTCTTCCTTTATGCACTCTTATAAAAAGAAGTCCATCGGAGTCAAATCCGGACTCCTTGGGGGCCAAGAAATCGGCCCATTCCACCAGATCCACGGTTCCCGATAGTTGGCGTTCAGAAAATGTCTTACCGTATTTGTGGAATGAGGCGGGACTCCGTCCTGTTGAAACATCAAGGGCCGTCTCACAGCAAGTGGGACAATTTTTTACTTCAAATATGATCTTCTATCGCTCCTTAAATTATTTGCACTAAGGAACCGAACACCCTGTATAGACATTACTATGGGAAAACCATAATTTCGGTTCATATCTATCTCAAAATTCACCAGTTCATTCTGTTTAAGTAGATGATAGCTGCGCTTGTTGAGAATTTTTCAGCTACACTTTTCGATCAAATGTAAGGAACAAAAGTTATTAATCATTCAAGTCACTGATGCCTTATGATTATGCTCAATCAACTATTCAGCAGGCAACATTTGTGTTTCTGGTGCGAAGAAAAGAGGACAAAAATCATACAGAATACAGTGTTGCCCACAATACAGCTGCTTAATCATGCCATAAAATTATCAATCTATTAAAAAATGAATAACTATTTAATTTGACGTTTGCCTGAAAAATGATCTTCTGCAAAATTGTAGCTGATAAAATTCTCCATAAGAATAGCGGTAGAACTTGTTAACATTACAGTACAATATGAAAAAAGACTTGAAGACAATGATCAAAATGTTTGGTTTTCCCACAGTTATTTCCATATAAACTTCAAATGGTTTGTGCCAAGTCAGCTTCTCACCAAATGAGTTTAAATTTTCGGAGGCTAATCAGAACCCGATTTGGAATGGTTAGAGCTCTGTGGAAAGATAATTTCAAATTTTGGATCAGTCTAATGTGCACCGTATAACTCACGTCACGCTCTTCTCCAAACGTATCAGTGCCACGTCGTGATAGTGGCCGTTAAATCGATGACTTGGATGACGAATGATTTCCGCAATTTTAAACTGCTGAGCAAACTCGTCACCCACCGTGGAAAAAATATCCAAATCTCCAAATCTGACCACGTCCGGTGGTTTATTCCTATGTCAAAATCAAACAATTATCGTAAGAACATGTTCTAGAGCACAAATTTAACATATTCGACCCACATCGAATCGACCACGCAATGTGCCGCCGTTAGGACAAAGTTATCCCAGATCAACGATCCTCCACATTTCCAAAGGATCCTTCCGTCTCCGGGCTGGATCCAGCCAATCGCACCCATGTGGGGAAACTCGAACTGGGTTGCAGGGAGACCTCCGATTCCTCCACCGCTGTCACCGTTGAAATTGTAGAAGCGCAAGTGGCAGTCTATAATGTTGAACAATGCTTAAGGGGAAATAGATCATGACACGTGGCGTCTTACCATCCAGCGAAGTTCGTTCATCCGGAAGAAATTGAGACTCTCCGGGATGTCTGTTGGTCGAAACTGAAATGGAGAACAAAATCTATTAAAAATCGTTTTGATCTCTGAGTCCATACTGTAACTTATCAGAAGGAAAACATTCAAATAGGCTTAATCCAGTCAAATTTGCGTTGAATCGAAGACAACAAATCAAGTAGACTGGCAACTCACCCATTTCCTAATACTATCGCTATGAGACAGGTATAATCACATCATTTGAGTTGAGACAATAGCTGATATCACGGCTCTCTTGCAATGAGCACTCATACATTCAAGAGAAAACAGTAATTGTCGTGTTTGTTTTCAAAAGCAATTACGCCCAAATCTCAAATCACTCCGGATATGTCCGTGAAAATTACAATGAACAAGTATATTTACTCAACGGTAGTTTCTCAAGGTGTACCGGGTACGTCACCCTGCTAAACATGCCATCAACACGAACAGTTTACTTCACTGGCAATGTGATTATTCTAATGTATCACAGTAGTCATAAAGTTTTAAATTATCTTACCGTAATAAATGCCACAACCGAATAGAAGCAGAGTGCATAGTTCACTTCTTAACCCGAATGCCATCACTGCTTTCGAAACATAAAACGACAAACATTAAGCTAGAAATCCTGTCAATCCACCTGTTGGAGGTGCTCACTAACAACTGAGGGCAATTACTCTTCTACATCTTCCTATACTGCGGTAGCAGTTAGTCGGGTATTCCCAGCTGATCCCCCTTCCCCCCGCCGTGAAGCTGTTATCCATTAACTAAACGCTGCAATTAGTAATTCACATTGCATATTAATGTTTCGTTTCTCATGCGACCTGAGTGTATTAGTATATCTTCTTCATTGAAACAAATTATTTTTTGTTTTCAAGTCTGATTGAAATAGAACTTCACCGTTTCATAGTGACTTCAATGGTAATAAATACCACAGATAACAAACATCCAGTGGCGTCGCCTTAACCTCAATCTACCTGTACACCAACTCTGAAGACCTAAACAATTATCAAAATATTGCTTGCAATGGATAGATATCGAGTTAACTAGAAGATTAGGTGTATTTTTTAACCGATTCGAGTATGAATATGGCATTAAATCTGTTTTTGAAAGTTGGTACACAGGTAAAAAGTGAGGTTACGCGACGCCACTGCAGACATCCAAGTCAAATTCCTAAAGTGTGTAGGAAATTTAACTGCTATTTTGAATAGACATTTGAAACTATCCATATCGTGGTGGTGCTAGTGCTGCTGCCCATCGACGTCGATGACCGGCAGACGTCATATTAACATTAATGTCAACATTATTGTGAGCAAAACATTGTTTGTTAAAACCGATCAAAACATGGGCCTCAAGTGCGAGTTTTATTGGTGCGCAATTAAAAAAGGTGTTACGAACAATCAATTCGAAACTAACGATTTTAAATTGGCTCACTACTTGACTAGCCTATTGGTCCCAAGCAAATCGATTAACGTACCTCTTTCTAGTCGAAATTCTAGTACTACACAATATTTGTTTTGATTCGCTATGAAAGTTTGACAGATAAAATGAGGAACTCGTGGATTTTCATGTTTCGAGAGGTGCATCGATTAGCTTGGGACCGAAGATAGTTACCTCTATGGTGTTACCAAGCGAAAATCTTTTCACAATTGCCGGAGATTTTCTTCTCACGTGGAGTCGAAGCGCTTGCAACGAAAAATTTATGTTCCGACCACTTCCCCCCGGAGGCTTTTCGAATTTCTGGAAAACATATGCAGAGTTCAAATCTTATCACATTTTTTCTGAATTTAAATGAGAGCTAATCTCCGTTCACACCCTCACTGAATAATTTGAAGATATGCCGCCAGAATCAAGAAAAGTCAGACTACTATCATAGAGGTAACTCTAAGACTAGAAGGTCCCGAAGAAACGTGCTCAACTTTTTGGCTCAGCTCTGGTACTCTCTTCGGTCCCAAGCTAATCGATTCACCCCTCGAAACATAGGAAAATCCACCAACCCCTCATTCTGTCAAATTTTCATAGCGAATCAAAAAAAATATTGTGTAGTACTAGAATTTCGACTAGAAAGAGGTACGTTAATCGTTTGCTTGGGACCAATAGGCTAGTCAAGTAGTGAGCTAATTTAAAATCGTTAGTTTCCACCGGTTGATACTACACCGTTTGGAGTTCAGTATGATAGTGACGTTTCACATTTTATTTCGCTTTCTTTGCACCTATCGAACGGTGACAGATCACCCGATCGGACTGATCAGACTCGAGTCCGCTTCGTTGTTTTCCGTCAAACGGAATTCGCCCGCACGGTAATCGCGAATACTACAATCTCAACTTCTTTCGATCGCACGGTTAATGCGGATACCATAAGTAGCAGGAATCTAAACTCGTTGACTAGGTCCATTACAATCGCACCCTTGCGATCCGAGTTGTTAGGGTCCTATGCAAAATGATGAGAGTTAAAGTCTCCACCAAAAACTACTTTGGGAAAAATTTTGATCTTCTTGAAGATTTGTTTAAGGCTATTATTCATATCGTTCGTGCTAGGAGATATATAAATTGAAACGACTACTAGATCTATGCTAAGTATTTCTCTTGCTAAACATTGTATGTGATCGAATTTAGGGATTTGTATTTCTCTTGATTTGTATCGTTTGTCTATTAGGATGGCGGTTCCTCCATAACCATCCGCTCTAGAGTTAAGGTAAGTATGATAATTCGTTATTCTGTATTTTGTTTTTTCTAACTCTAATTTGCTCCAAGTTTCAGATAATAAAGCTACTTCATATTGTTCTTGTATTAATATTCTGCATAATTCATCCTTTTTCTTTTGCATACTTTGAATATTACATTGAAATATTGTGAAATTGGTACTCATTGTCACTTACGGTTCGTCATCTATCGATTCCCTCTCATCTTGCCACGGCACACCTGACTGCGAGCGTGATGAACTCGCTGTTGGGCGAACTTTTCCTGACCGCCGGTCGGTCCGGTGCTTCTTGCATTTGTTTTCAAGAGTTGTTCGTTCAACAACTGTTGTCGTTGCTTCTCGAACTGAGCTGCAAATCGTTCAAACTCTGACACAGAATACCTACTGAACAACGCGACGCCTGTTTGTTCAGCCGGTTTGTCTGCTTCTTGTCCGCGTAGATTGTGACGGAATCTGCAATGTTCACATCCTTCATGGCTCTCTTGTTCTTCTGCGGCTGCGGTTTGTACTGGTTCTGATCCTTTGTTTTGTACTTTCCTGCTACCATGGCAGCAAAGCTCTCGGCTGGCGTTGGTGACTCCGACAGTTCCTCCAGCAAATCGTAACGATTCTGCGTAAAGATTGGGCTCAGTTCCTTTGCTTCAAGATACGCCCGTATGTGTCCGTATCGCAAACAGTTGCCGCATAGGACCGGTTTGTTGATGAATGGCATGACTCGATTGTTACAGCAGTACAGCTTGACCTCTGCCGGCAATTTGTTCGTACGGAAAGTTACGCTGATCCTGTTACTTGGTAGCTTCTGATTGTTGACATAGCGCTGTAAGCGGTAAACATTCATAATGGGCACCGACATGTTTTCCATAATTTCAGCATCCGTCATGTCTGCCGGCACCCCGGCGATGACTTCCGTTACTGACAGGAAACTTTTCGGTACGTAGAACATGTAGTTGCATTCTTTCATAGTTTTATCTCCTTGCAAACGGTTGGCAATCCTTAGGTTCCTGACAAATACCAGCAGGTTCTTCAGACCCATTGGACGCATGGTGATGATATTGTCCTTGTAGTCCTTTGTTTTGCTCAGCAGTTTTCCAAGCGTCAGCTTGTTGATACGGATCGTGCCTTCCTTGTCGTCGAGTAGCTCTACAATCAGCCGATACGGCCCAACATCGTTTTGGCGATATTCGTAGACTTCGTGAGTTTTCTGCTTGTTCCCGCTGCCTCCCGTATCGGGGGGCGGATCCCCTGTCGGCATGGTTGAGGTTATGCTACTCACTCAGCAGCGAATAACAATTACACTGATTTCCGTTTCAGTCCACTGATAAACTGTTGGTTCAAGTTACTGCTTCCACAAAAAGAGAATATTTCCACAATACACTGGTTTGTCTTCAAGAAAAAAATTTACTATTCACTTCCAATAACCAAAAAAACGTGTGCTTTATAACAATGGCGGCAAACGAATGTTATGCAATCTCGTTGAACTACACTCAAAAAATTTATCACATATCTAATGGATGAAATCCATGTGAATTTCACATAGCTTTCCTGTGATCACATAGCAGCAAATCCCACCACAAAATCACATGAATATTATGAGGCCGATGAAATTCATATGAAAAATCATAAAAAATTCATGTGATGGCATAAATGTTATGTGAACTTCAGATGAATTCCATTAATTTTGATTATGGATGAAAATCATGTGCGTTTCCAATGGAAGCTACATTAAAACTATTTTCGGTGTATATAAACATTCAATCCAGTTTGACAGGAGGTAGAACAGTTGAAATTAGGAATTTCAGGTGGCGGCGATGTTTGTTCTCAACCAGTTTCCAAATTTATTTTATAGATTCGCGCCGAACGCACCATTCTGATACTACAAATGAGTGCTATACAAATGTAGTAGTACTGGAAATAAGTTGAATAAAAATTAATTACGTTAGTAGTGGTAGCATATTAGGTTTAGAGCGTTTGGAGTTAATTGAATTATTATAGCGAATTTGTTTTCGACTCAGTTCCAACCTGGATCGGGTATCAAGATTGGGTCGGCTGGTTCCAACCTGGATAATAAACAAATACTAGTAAATAATTATTCCAAATCGAGCTATCCATAAGTGTATCCCAAGTTATTACTTAATAAATCCAAATCCAAGGTTGCAAAGTGATTCCTTCAAAAAGAAGAAGTGACTCCTAGTGGCGGTTAAATTTTTAACGGAAATCACGAACCTGTTCCAACAAGCAGAATGCACATAATTAATTAATATCTCCATAATACTAACTTGAACCGTTAATGCTGTCTTGAGCAAAGTTGTTCCTTATAGTTTGAGCTACGTGTGCTGAAATTCTGAGCTTAATCGAGTTTGCTGAACCAGTTCTATGCACGAAGGAGTGAAGGAATATTATGTATCTATACATTTCAACGATTGTACGACTTTTCCCCGAAAACCAGTTCCCCGAAAACACTTTCCTCGAAAGTTTTATCCCCGAAATACGATTCCCCGAATGAACCAGTTCCCCAAAAGGAACGTTTTCCCGAAAACTATTTCCCCGAAAGAACTAGTTCCCCGAAAGATACAATTAACACTGTGCGATCTGTTTAAATATGATCCTTGGGTTTGTTACAACTTATCTATATGAAATTGAGAAAAATATCTTTGCTGAATATTGATAAACAGAACAAAGTCGTTCAACACCCTAGATAAAGTTTGTGGTTATGACTTGTTATGACATTTGGCGGTTTATCAAATTGATATCTGATTGTAATGAGCATAAAGACTGAGCTTTGATATAAAGAAGGGAAAATTGTGTCAGTTTCATCAAATCTTTCGCTGGTTAACTACTTGTATCGAACAATACCACAATACACATATCAATGTGTGTCGAATTAAAGTGGACTCTACACGACTGTTTGTATGGACAATAATCGTATTGTC